GTAGAATGGTTTGGGTTGGAAAGGGCATTTAAAGGCCATCTAGTCCAACCCCCCTGCCGTGGGCAGGGACATCTTCAACTAGAGCAGGTTGCTCAGAGCCCCGTCCAACCTGACCTGGAATGTTGCCAGGGATGGGGCATCCACCACCTCTCTGGGCAACCTGGGCCAGTGTGAGCAATAGCCCATTCTTCCTTTTTGGCGTGAAGTATTAAGAAATCCCTTAAGTTTAAAAAAAATACAATAATCAGTATTAAATGTCCTTTTAAACAGAATCTTTGGTTTCTCACAGGTTTCTCACATTCTCAGTTGAAAGGCTCCAACCTGAGCTTTACGTGGGAGCTCCGAGCATTTGCCCTTCAATATCAGCCCTCCTCTAAATTGCCTAAAAGCATCGCTACCAACTCATTAGTCACTTGTTTAAAAACTCGGTCTCCCTCTCCTACAGCTTCATTAGGACGCTTCCTACTCCCCAAGAAACCCTGTGCTTTCTCACTGCTGCCAGCAGAAGAGGTAAAGCAAAATCGCTACCGAGCGAGTCACTCTCGATTAAATGCATCCAGGAGGAGTCTATCAAAAGACACCACAGGATTAAGCAAGGCTGGTGTTTAAAGCAGCCCCCCGCACCCCGGGGGAGTGGAGGGGGCATGGGGAGGCTGCAGCCTGCTGAGGAGGTTCAGGCTCTGCCCGGGGGTCAGACTACCACAATTAGCCAAGAGAGTGGTACAGGTAGATTAGCTTTTAATCGCTCGGTCGCATCTGGTCTCCGAGGTTGGAAAAGGTGCTTCATCAGAGTCGTGGTTCCCCTCCAGAGCAGCTTGACTTCAGGCTGGAAGGGAGTAAATGTTCCTCTTGGGTGTAATGTGGTATAATCATCTACCTGATTTCAAGAATTAAGGAGGCTGAAAATATGCCTCCCCCCCAGCCTGCCCCCAGAAAATTGCGAGCAAGTTGCTTAGGGAGCTCCGACAGACGTTTTCTACCGAGCCCTTGTGAAGTAGCCCCCATAGTTGCCATCCCCATAGTGAGGGGAGCACGTGGGGCTTGGAGCTCCTGCCGTAGCCCGCCTGCGAGGGCCGGGGTGTCTGCTGGAGATGTGCAGATGGGCTGGGGAGGGGGAGCGCTGTACAGTTTATCCTAACTTTAAAGAGTAAAACTCGAGGCCGTGGCTGGAGACGCAACTACACATTTGGGCAGAGAGATGCTTATGCAGAAGGAAGTCTTGATAGGAGGGCAGAAGTATTTAATGATCTCTGTTTATCGTCCTTTTCCCTTAAAGCTAAAAAAAGAAGCAGCAGAAAGGAGAGGGAGCAGCGTAGTTTCACAGATAAAAAGCAGCGAGGTCTTGCTTTTTGTTGTTAACATTGCTGTCACCCAGCAAATGCTTCTCCGGAGCTGGCTGACCTGCTGCAGAAGGCTACGAAAAGTGACTTTTTGTCCCCATCTGGCAACACGAGTGTTGTGGGAGCGTGGATGCTGCCGGCTCCCGGGCAGGGAAGACTTGCTGCAGCAGAGAGGCTGCAACACGTCAACTAACAGCATGAAGGACACGTCGTTACGGCTTTGTCAGGGAGCTGGATGCTCGACGTGTGCTGGAGCAGTGTTCTGCATCCGTGTTTATTGTTTAAGTGCCTTTTTTTCTTGATTAATGGTATTTTGTCATTTATGGTATTTTGTTGATTGTTTAGCTATTGCTACCCAGAAGGGTAAGAATACAAGCAAGTTTTATATCTGAAACCTGGGTCTGAAGTTACAAATGTGTGATCAGATCTCGGCTGTGTTAGCAGTCTGCACAAAACCTTCTCCTGACTCAGATAACGATTAGTAGCAAAAGGTTTCTGTTCCTCATTTTAATACTTTAAATATTGTGATTTGCAAGACTGTAACAGCCATTTGCAGCGTGCGTGGACTGTGCAGGACTGCCAGCTGCTCTGCAAAGTTTTTTGCAGAATTTTGGAGCATTGAAGACCTGGTTCCCTCTACTACATGGACAACGCCGATAACTTCAAAACTTGCTCCCCAGCTTGCGTAGGAGCCTGGCCTCAGCTTTTTCACCAAAACGATAAATTTTGTGAAAAAACATGGTATTTAAGATGTGCAGCCTGCTATTTTCTCGGTAGTTGGGAAAGGGGGGAAGACACGAGGCGGTCTGGATCCGAAGGGAAGGACGTGTGGTGGGTCCCCTCCCAAACTCGCTGCCCGCAGGGCATCGCTAACCCTCTGCTCTCTGCTTTCCGCAGGCCCTCCGGGGAGGCGGGGGAAGCCTGGCCGGCGCGGAGAACCCGGTAAGCATCACCTTTCCCCAGCGACGTCGCTGGGCGTCTCGCGGGTGTCATTGGGCTGGATGGGAACCTTTTGATAATGATGCCGGTCACCTTCATCTAACGGGCTGTGGAATGGGGCTTCCCACATTCCTGTGTGCTGGATATGAAGGTTTTTATAAAAACCAAAAAATAAACCAAAAGAACCCCAAAACCAAACAACAACAAAACAAAAAAACCCAAAACCCTGCAAAATACCAAAAACAAAACAAAAAAACTCAGAAAAAACCAACCAAACAAAAACCTCAAAACACCCACTGGTGTTGCATATTTTATTAGTCCTTCCATTTCTCCCTTGTAGCATTCAGACCCATTATTATCCCATCCAACAGTGAAGTGGGACTGTGAATTAGCACAAAAATATAGAAACCCGGTAGCTGTGCTAGGTGGGAGGTGGGCACTGGCTTGTTCCCTGCATGTGGACGTGTCCATACGTTGCCTGTCGGTCCCACGCGTGTGATGGATGGTGTCTGCATTTCAAGGTCGGGGATAACCAAACCTCAGCCACCAGCCTTGGGCACGTCCCCTGAGCGCTCGGTGTGCCCTCAGACCGGGTGAAACTGCAGACCGGCCTCGCTGGGAATTTTTATTTCAGCTAACTGTTTAATTATATAGCTCTCTCCCTTTGGTATTTGGTGGAGGTTGGATTTTTTTTTTCCCCCCCTCTTGTGAAATGGGAAAGCACCGATCCTGTTTCAGCTGGGGAGAAGTGCTGTTTACATTCTGCTGTTAGGTCTGAAGTGCTGTGGGAGAGTGGAGAGATGCGGTTGGCATTGCTCTTTCTAAGGAAAACAGTCAGACAGGAATGTACCTAGAAAGCCACATGGAGTTTGCAACTGCCTCTGCGTGTCAGAAAGCAGCAGATGAAATTTTACGCTCCTCTGCTCTGAAGTTCTTGAAAGTTGAGAGAATGAATGGGGACCGGGTAGATTTTTATTTAGCGAGGAGGCTGTTCTGTGTTGCCTGTTGCTACAGCAAATACATGGCTGGGTTTTCAAAAAGGGCAGCATAACTTACCCATATTTTAAACAATTTTTTTAACTTTGGGGAAAGGAAATCAGGGGGTTCGTGCTGCAGACTGTGGACCAATGTCCATGGAAGGCAGGCAGGCATTTTCCCTTCTCTCTTCCATTGATGGTGTTTCACAGTGTGTCGTGTGTTTTCTGAGATATTTTTGCTCCTGAAGCATCAGGGATTATTCATGGCCAAGGAGTGAATACTGCGGTCGTGGGGGTGGTGATGGATCCCAGGCAGCTTCATTAAACCTGTTTTCCTAGCAGTTGGGCTGTAGGAATAGCCACCAGGTAGCTTGAATTCTTTTTTTATTTGTTGTTTCTTAAATATCACTGTGCTCCTTAGAGCCCTTAGTGGAGTGCAGCATTCAACCAAGGGCAGCTGGTGAGGTCAGCCAGTGAATTTGGTTTTTATATGCAGGCACTTATGTAAACGTCGTCCAAGGTGTCTCTCTAACTCATACAAAAGTTTGGGAGGTAGTGCTGAGCTTGAGCATGCCATTACCCTTCACTCCCCTTCTCCCTGTTTCACGCAAGAGCTGCTGAAAAGTGACATTTGCCCTCGTGCTGCGGCACGTCTGCAAGTGCCACTTGAGCATCCCTCTGACGAAGCAGACAGCTGCCAGGGAATCAGTGCAGGACCAGCAGGAAAACAAGCATTATATAATAAAAAAAAAAAGAAAAACAATCAATCATTAATAACACCTTATGATCATCTTTGAACTTTTCTGCGATTGTGGAGGAAAATCGAGGAGAGCGAGATACCGTTGGAGAAGGGAGATCCATAGGGCATGCGATGGCAGTGGATGCTCGAATGGATTTCTTCCTCAAGCAGGAGGACAGCAGCAGCAGACACCTCCGTGCACACAAATGGCACGCACACACCCCCTCGATGGGGCACGCTGCTTAAATCCCTTTAATGCAATGCAGCCCCTGCGGATTGCTCCGCTGTATTGCAGACCGAAAAGCAGAGAGCCGGCGTCCCTCTGTATATTGGTTTTGGCCGAGCTGCCAGATGTTTGTTTTCATAGATAGCTTGAATATATATTTCTATATTTGTTTGAGAACCTGACCACACATAAACCCAGGTCCTTGTTCCTCTGCTACAGCTGATAAATGTGAGTAAAACCTTGTTTGCGAAGCATGATAGTGTCCATCCCCAGGGACCCTGCGTGGTTATAGCTTTACAGCCTCCAGACAAATGCTGTTGTACAGCCGGAAGGCTCAGCGCTGGTCTCAGCCCTGCCAAGGGGAACGTTTTTTCTGGCAATTGTTGAAATGGTCGCGTTGGAAAACTTATTCTGATTTACACTGAAACTTTCAATATCTATCTCTTAGAAAGAAGCAGAGAAACTCTTAAAAGACCATTCTGTCCCTTTTCAATTGCACCCTCTTGTTGATTTAAACCAAGACTGAATTTTACTTTTTTTTCTTTCACCGTGATGGATTCATATACTTAAAAAAAAAATTAATTCAACAGCTTTGTTTCTCTAAACTAAGAATTCATCATCCTTGAAAGCATGCCGAGACAATTGCTCTCTACCATAGAAAGACACCATGCCATAAAAGATTCATTTTAAACTATTTCTAGGAAAAAAATTAACTGTTCAGACTGTCTGGAAGTGGGGCAAGCCTGGCTGCACGTGCTTCAAAAAGCACTCGCCAAAATGTGGGGGTGAACCACCATTGCTGCCTCCCGATTCCCCCCCGGGGAGCTGCCGAGGGCAGGCGGTGGGTCCCGCCGGGGCGCTGCCTCTGGGCTTGGCTTAGTTTATTTTGTTGTGAAGAAGCAATGCAGAGAAATGCAACAAGTTTTCCCCCGCGGGGAGCCTGCAGGCGCGGGGAGGCGGGGGCTGCGCTAAACCCCAGCCTTTCCTCGTGCTTCGCATCTCCGGCGAGGGCTCGAGCTTCCCGTGGTGGCCCGGTCGTCTCCGCTGTCATCTCTTCCCTGACCTCAAACACTAAGACCAGGTACCTGGGGGAGCATTTCTGCCAGTCAGCCCAACTAAACAAACCAAGGAGTAATTGAGTCAAACGGCTTCATCCGACCCATTTTATTTACTTTTGCTGTCATCTGGCCCTGTGGGAATCGCCTCCGCGGCTGCAGCTGGGGAACAGCACACGTGTCCTAGAGCTGGTCCCAGGGCTGGAGTCACTGGGACGGTGACTCAGGTGACAGTCACCTGAGTGCTACCAGTGTGGAAGAAGCTACTTTTAAAAACCAATTTATTCTGCTGTTGCTACCACAAGGCCAGGAAATCCACACCAGCAGCCTCCTTGGGGAGGTGTCCTTCCCAGCGTGTCCCCCAGTGTGGCCGTGCCTGCACCCACCTCCACTCCAGCATCTCCCAAGCTCCGTCCCATCCTGCCAGGACCAGCGCACAAATCGCGTCACCCTTTCTCCTGCACACGAGCATCAGCGGTTTCTTGTGCAGCTGGAAGGCAAGCGCAGCCTTGAAGAAGACCCCCGTGCACCCACCAATGGAAACAGTTGGTGTATAAAAAGAAAACCACGTTTTAATACAACCTTATGTGGGATTTGCAGCCTTCTCCGAGCGCGAGGTGGAAGGAAGGTTTTGCAGCACTAGCTGTTGTGTGGGTCCAGACAGCCAGCCTGCACGTCTCAGATACAGTTCCCTTTCCATGCCAAAGGCAAAATTATGTTTCGTGTCATGTTAGCTTATTTTTTTAACGTGATACGTCCCAGTGAGGATGCAGTTCAACTGTTGTAGTGAGCGTTTGTGAAATAACACGGATTTTAGCAGGGGACCTGGGTGGTTTTGCTTCCCCTCTTGCTGCCAGCTGGTGCTGCATGAGCGGGATGGGGTACAGCCGCGCAGCCCTCCCCGGGGCTTTACGTTTATTTTTGTAAAGACCGATCCATGCTGGGGTGTTCCTGAAGGATGGATGAGTCGGATCCAGGATTTGGGAATTTAGTTGGTTTAAATATTGGTTCAAAGTCTTTGTATAACTAGGTGGTGGGAGATGGTGCTTGTGTCTCTTGTAGCAGCATGCTGCTTTCTTCTCCTGGCTTGAAGATTGATCCAAAACCTGATCTGAACCTCAAAATCCCTCAAGAAAAAACAGGAGAAAATACACCTGAAATATTAAGTCTGGGAAGTCTCCGAGTACATCTCTGCTCTCCTCACATGAAGCAAGAGCTGGTTCTGGACACAAATGCCCAAAGCTGATCGCTGCGGCCATGGGTAGCGCCTGTTTGCATCAACTGTGCGCAGCTTCAGCAGAAGGGAATAAAACGTTGGCCATTTTAGGCACAAAATTGCCCTTACAGGTAGGCCTGGAAGGGTATTTTTTGATGAAGTGTTATTTCATTGGAAAATGTTGACGTGGCAAAACTGCTGTTTCTGGCAGTAAAAGTTTTGTTTACAAAATTTTTCCATTTCAAACAC